AAAGTGTTTTATGTCATGTACATAAATGTGATATATTTACATATATTATTTTTGAAGAAAGTTAAAAAGAATTTTGTTAAAAAAATAAGAAGGTAAAGAAATACCGAACAGCGCAAACGACGCATGTGTAGGGACTGGTGGAGTCTAAGGCATCATAATAATAATAGATTGGCGCTTACACATATGTTAGAGTTTGGCCGAGCTTCTCCTCCGACTTGTGACGTGCGCCTTGATGTTGTCACACAATGCGGAGGGACCTACAGTTTTACGCCGACTCCGAACGGCGATTGTATTTTTATGAGAAGCTGTTTTTGATGGCAGAAATGCACTCGGAGGTTTGCCATTGCCTGCCGAGGGACGACCGCTGTTAAGAAAAACCCCCTTTCCATATTTTTTTGAGATGTTGCTTTGACCAGGGCTTGAAACCAGGTGCCGATGTATGAAAGCCCGCACTGCTTACCACTACACCACAGCGGCCACACAGTCTCAGGTATCAAGCCTCCAAAAATCTAACCTTAACGAGTGGCATGCACACCACGTGGAAGCAATGGATTCAGCAATTCGATTGGTATGCAGCAGCTATCCAACTGAATAAGAAATCAGACGAAATTCAAGCAGCAACGTTAATGGCAAGCTTAAGGCCGGTCCACATAGAGCTTTCGCGTTGGCTTTGGCGTTGGTGTTGGTTTGACAGAACGCACGAAGTATTTTGATAATAAATGCTTGTTTTGCGGGCACCAGAAGCAGAAGGGTTTTTTACTTCTTGGGCTGGGGCTGACGACTTTTTTGAAAAAAATCAAATCGTCGGATAGAAACATTTGAAGGCCAAATATTTGATGTCAGCACTTTATTATATTGAAGTTCTGGAACTCCAAGCTTGAAATTTTTGTATTTAATATCCTCCGAATTAGTATTTTTCTTAAGAAGCTTATAGCACAAAATCTCATTCCTATTGATAGCCGCATGTTTGGCGACATATTCAATGATGTTCTCCGTATTAACGGAGGGCAAAAACGAGGAGATATGAAGCCATTTGTGACGAAGAAAAACTCCCAGCTCAGAGTTATCGTTAGTTCCAAATACACAAAGACTTTGTTTTTTATGAGTGCGATTTTTAGGCACAACAGACCACTGTGCATTATTTGGATGTGCATTGTTAGCAGCATTATTCGCTATTGTATTATTTGACGTTAACATTATTAGCCACAGCAGCGGCATACGACGAAGCAGCATCAGGAGCACACTCAGGCGGCGCAGGCAAAAAGCATGAGTTGGCAAATGCAGCCGGCAGCGTGCCAACAGGAGTGGTAGGCGAAAGAACAGAAGAAGCAACAGTAGACAAACCGGTATTACTACCAGGTGTAATTGAAAAATCGGTACTAATACCCGGCGCATCAGAAACACAATGCGTTTCTGTGATCTCATCAACTACTAGATTGTTAGCAGTACCAACAGCATCATTAGGCGGCACAGATGAAGTGTGCATGTGAGTGTGCGTTTGCATTAGAACTGGCTGAGCAATAACACCTTCACTGGCAGCATTCACAGCAGACGATGACTATTATTTATTGCTTGAATGGGCATGGAATGGAATTGAGTTTCAATTTTGCTTTCAATTTTGATAAGCTTTTCAGCATTGGCATGCGAATTTTGTGAAAGTAAAAAAAAAAACTAAGCTTATGCATGCTAAAATGTTAATTTACAATGGAATTAAAATGGAAAATGTTTTTCGGAAGCTGGTTTGTTACATTGTTTTCCTGAAGGCGACATGTTGATAATGAAATTGCTTCTCAAATTGAATGCAGCCTACGTAAGGGCTTTCAATTTTTATGATTTTTGACAAGCAATGTGTGTGATGAAATTGAAAGGCAAAACTGATTGTGTGTCGTCAGCGTTATCAAAAGCTACAACTATTTGCTGATCAAGTGAGCAAGCATC